TCTAGAGTGAAATGAACAATGCCCGGGAGAGTTACTGCCTCCTAATTGAAACCAACCCCCGCGTATCATCCCCCGCTCTCTGCGCTTCCTCTTTGCTCTTTCCGCCTTCCTCACTCTCCGTCCTTTCCATCCTCTTCCCGTATCACTCTTCCTCCCCCTTCCTGTTCCGCCGATTCTTCCTCACTCCCTTTTCACCCCCCCCTCCTCCCCCTCCTACCGCCTAATCGTCCCGCACAGATGCGTGCCGCGTTTTCTCTCGATCCGCGTATAAAGCGTATAGTTTACGACAAAAGTTCGGCCTCGAGTTTAACAAAACGCCTATTGGCCCATTGCAGTACACGAGTCGATGCATTTACATGCGTCCAATGAGCGAGTATTGATCACGTCGCACAAGATCATTCGACATTCGCCTCGTACTTGTGACATCGTCGAAAGAGCACCCTGACGCGACTACATTGAACTAATGGGCATTCTAATTGCCCGCTAGGTAGAGCTTTGTGATTAAGCGATTCATATTATGCTACATTGACGCCTCAGAGTACATTATTCACGAGATAACGTGTAAAAGTTCCAATTTTATAACCATTAATATATAATAACTCTTAATACATTAACATTTAGTTTATAATAATGTTATTAGTAATATGTAATTTATTTGCATTAAATTTATAATAATTATTTATTAATTCACTTGAGAGTAGCAATAAAATCATTTTTTTTATCTAAATTATCGCTTCGTTTGATCGATTCAGCGATGTGTGATCAAGACTATCACACATTACCTTATTCGAAGATTTCTTTTCTTCAATATACTTAAGTTACTATTCGGAAGGAAATAAATCTACGTTCAACTCTTCCCTCCTCCTTGTCCCAAGTGGAGGTGATTAGTCTGTGCAAGTGCTAAAGAGACGAATATTATACAAGGCGATCGTATAAATCGGCCATTCACCTAGATGCAGCGTTCCTTATTTATTGCCCGTTTGTTCGCGCGCAAAACATATATGCGAAAATTAAGGTGCGAAGCCTATTCCACGCTCTTACGGGAGTCGACTCCCGTAGACTTTGAATATTTCCTGCGAGGGCTGTGAGCCTCGTAACGAAATTCTCTCAATGCAAGAAATTTTCATTTGTACGTCGAAAATAAACTCGATTGCGTCTAATTCTAAGAGAGAGCCGCGTGCTTGCGCGTGTGTTGTATTTCACAGGTGTGTTTTAATCGCAACGTTCTCGAGATGGCTTAGGTTTTACTGTCGCACGTAGTAATTTGAAGATGTCTCGTATAATACGGATTTACGTCAATTTGCTTTGAAAATATAAGCTATTCCAAAGAAATATAAATTATTCAAAAGGATATCACGAACGGCGAATTTATCATTTCAATTAATTATATACTTATAAGTATCGTCAAATTATACGATGACTGACTTTAACAAACTGTCACTCTCTTCATCGGATAAAAAAAGAAGGAAAGAACTGATAGAAATATATACCGCGAGAAGATGCGCATATTTATGCATATTTATTTGAAATCGATAATCGATAGACAAACAATCGGTGTTCGGTTGAAATTTGTTATGTGAGATGTCAACGAACGCAATTCAATCGGCACAGCGTGACATAGATCGTTTTCACGAACGTTATCGCCGATGGCGCGCGCATGAGTGTGCGTGCAAAAACGAGTTGCTAATCCAGCGCTCGTAGCCGCAAAATATCAGGTAAATTTCAAAAAAAAGAGCCGCTCTCATAACGCTTCAAGTGACGTGTTCATTTCTGCTCGCATCATATTCTATGCTTATGAAATGCTTCGATTTAAATTAAGCCTAAAAATCACTATAATTTGAATGCTTTAAATTATAAATTTGCTTTTAATTATAAATTTAGCATTGCCTATCAAAATAAAAATGATTGAATACAAATTATTAAAATCAAATATAATACATATACAAATTAAAATTAAATATATATACGTATACATAAAGTAATTATTTGTGTTTTTGAAATATATACATGTAGATGATCAGCAAATCCAAGAACTGAAATAGAAATTTCTCGGATAAATAAACTGATTTAAAAGCAATTTATTTATCTGCTCGTCACCGAATTATATAGATATATCATCTTTATATCATTTTATTTGTTAGATTTCCTTTTCTCTATCATTTCCGAAAAGAAATCGAAGATCATCGAAATTAATTTCGAAAGAGTATCGCTCCCCTTCGTGGAAAATCGCGCGAGGATCACGCTCGAGAAAGTCGAGACGTCTTCGTCGCGATGTCTTCGCTAACACACAGTCGACGTGGCGAACGAACGAACGAACGAACGGGAACAAGCCAGTCATCACAGAAAGAGGCCGAGTCGAGATTACCAGCGCGCCTCATTTTCCCTCCTTTCGTTCTCCTTTTCCTCGCCCACCACCCTCCGCATTCAAACGTGAAGTTATCAGGGCTAATTTTCCGCCTTTGTCGCGCCCCTCGGTGGCCAGCAGCCGGTTCATTATTCGCATCTAGCGACCACTGTTTTTAATAACCTAATGGCTCTTACGCGGTACATTATATCGCCACTCTTCTCTTCCTCCTTCTCCGCTCCCTCTTTCAGCGCCACCCTTCGTTGCTTTTTCGTTAGCCCGCTTCTTTATTCGCGATCTGCAAACGAAATATCCAACTCTCCTACCGTTCGTTCGTTCGCTTATGACGCTTATGACGACACTGTCGTGCGGCGGTGGTTCTCTCGGACTCGCATTCCACCGGGAAAGATTATGGAACCGAACGACCAACCCTCTTGGAAATCTTTTCCCCAGCTCTTCCCTTCACGTTCGCGCGATCGCTGGAGAACGGAACGATCGCTTAAGTCTTTATTCCTTGCGCTTTTGTTGAATCGTTGAGCGGTCCTCCGCGGTTTTTGTCTCAGCGAATAATCGAGGGAGAGACGGGGCTTACGTCGGAGATATTAGGCACGAATAAAGAGTAAAGACAGTTATTGTCAACCTTGCGATTTGTCTCGCTCTTTGAATGATTGTGATCAATTGTGAGGAGATGCGCGAATATGTCGATGAGGAATAATTAGGGATTCTGTAGACAATTCTCGATGTAAATCATTTATTTTATATGATAAAATTAGCTATAAACGATTATTTTTTTTATTGCGCGATACAGTTTCGCGCCGAATTTTCCGACTGCGAGGAAATTTTTTTCTGCTTCGCGAGGAAGTCGAACGAGACGCAGAGTTCTCACAGCTAGTAATACACCTGATTACGATTCAGAATGCGATGGCGATGATATTTCACTTCTTTTTCGAGGCTTTATGATCGGACGTTTTTAATTTCCCGCCGCGCGCTCCAGCGAGAGGCCCAAGCCGAATGCAAATTGTGACAGGAAAGTTATGCGCGGCCGTGAAATTAATGTCTTTCCGAGATCGAGACTTAATAGCCCGTTATATACTTCGCGCGCCACATACATATACATACGCGTGTGCAATTCCGTGAGCGGATTTATGAAGTGACGAACTCTCTTGCGCGCGCTCGCTCGCTAAATTGAATTCGACTTGCCCCATTTCTTCGACTCGTATAAATCGTCGGAGAATCGATCGTCGATATTCTCGTTTAACTTTCCGATACTTACTTACCGATACTATTTTTTTAAATCTTACTCGAATGATTAAATAGAATAGCATCTTAATGAATAATTTATCTGAGTAATGTAAATGAGATTATATCATGCTAATATTTTTGTTGCTCAAAATAATCTTAAAGTATTCTATTAAGTATTCTTATAATATTTTACAGCATGAACCAAATAGCCAGATCGTTTTCTTTCTCATTATTTTGTGTTCGAGTATGCGTCTTGCTTGCCATCATCTCTGCATGCAGCTTGGCAGAAATTAACAAACGTAATCGGAGCAAAGTGATGAAGGAAGGATCTGACCTAATTAAAAATTCAGAAAAATTGGTGATCTCTTCAAATCAACGTGACGATAACAAGGTAAAGATTCAAAAAAATATTTATGTAATTAAAACTAATTTAATATAATATCAATCAATCAAGAATTGTGCTTTTTTTCTATTCGATAACGCGTGAAATTTTTGATGGAAACTTTCTATTGTTAAGTTCTCTTACAAAGCGAGTGTATCATCGTGATTGATAAGAGAAACGATATCTCATGTTCAATGTTCTCTATTCGACCGAGAGCGACGACAGATTCTTGTTTTCAAACGCGTTTTAATATCTCAAGCGTTAATTTCTTTTGGCGAGAGACGTATAGAGCGACGCGACGTGCCACAGAACATCTCTCCATCTGCCAGCTTTCGGCTCTCAGTCCTCCTTATGTCGAATGACAAAATGACAAAGGGTTGGTCGCCCCAGGCTAGCGATATTACCGTTTCCGTTTCGGAACTATGCGAACTGTCGTCTACCGCTCCTCTCCTCGGCCGCGTATTGCGGCCGAAAATGCCTCGTGATTGATTATGCCCGCCGTACTTTCGGTGCTCGACTCTCGCAACGGCCGATTGATGGGGAACTCACGAAAAGGATCGTCACACTCACAAATGAAATCAAAATGTCTCAAAGTACTGTTAACAAGATCCTTAGAAGTAAAACGATTAAAGTAATTCAAAGAAATTGCAAATAATTTAAAGTATATATATAAATATATATATATATATAAAATATATGTAATAAAATATAATTTTTTCCCGTAATGTCCCTATAAAAAATGTTTAATCATAATGTACATCGTTTAATATACATGTTCGCAATATACATTTGTGCATTCTAATAAAATTAGATGTCCTTCAACCAACAAAGCCTTCTATCATCGCAGACAGTTTAATAAAAAGAATTCTTGCCTCTCTACAGAGCTATGTTAGCGTCGGAAGGCAAACCAAGGGCGAGACGGAAAGCGGGGGTCTTTATTTAGTTAAATGCCGCGTGTAATTGGGTGTAAGATCTTTTTTTTTTTATTCGGCGAACCGACCACGAGACGTCGGTCCTGCCGCGAAACCGCCACGTTGCGAGGCTCAAGTTTTCCACCCCTTTTCTGCAGCGTGTTAGGTGCCGGTGGTGACTGCCAGCCACCTGATGGCACAAGGGCCCACCGGGAATGAGATGCAGATTGCCAGAGGCCACTTCAGCCACGCTGGGGGGAGTGAATTTTTAATAATACCGCACCCTGTGCCCGCGGCTCCCGGATGTAGAATTCCATTGTTTTGGCCGCGCGAGCGTGTCAGAAAAAAGATGAAGAAATAGTATGCACGCGATGCGTTACAGGACATCTACTCGGTATTATTATAACGCGCTAACGTGCTAAGGGAGGTGGGAGCTAAGGGATTGTCAGCGACAGAATATCCCGTTGTCTTCGCGGCAGGAATGTCGCTGCAAAACATTCTAAGCCCGCGGCTGTACATTTGAGAATACGAATCTCTCATATGAGTGTTAATTTTCTCCTGCTTCAAAATTCCACAATACATTTCTAAAATTCAGTAAAGTATATTAGAAAATTGATGTATGTCATTTAATTAATTAAATTATGAGATTATCTTTTAAACGTACAGGTTGACGGCGGCCAACATTATCCCACAAATGAATCTGTGATGATCAAAGATGAGAAAAATAGCATGGCTCTAAATAGATTTCTGAAAGATGTTCTAAATGCGCAGAACGAGTTGAAGTGGATAGATCACGCCACGCGTCGTGTTAATCATAGAACTGGCCTGGATGAGTAAGAGCTTATGTTGCTTGTTGCTTTATTGAGAGCGAGAAAGAAGATGAATAAAAAATAAAATAAATTCAATACACAGATAGTTAATAAGCTTGACTCGATTTCACTTGCTAGAAATGTCTACTTCAGTTGGAAAAGATTGTTTCAATTTCAACAACCTTGATTCATATTTACATTCTACAGCGATTTAGAAATGCGTATCATAATCATTTAATTTTTATTGAATGATTTTATAAGAATATTTTCGATACAGTTCATTGATGCATACCAATCAGTTATCTCTTACGAAGGATGTCCTGGAACGGACTGATATCGATTATGGAAGTAGGTTACGCGGCAAGAGAGGCTTCGATCGAAATTACGAAACGATGTGGATGCTGCAGAAGAAGAAATATGGACAGAAGAACACTCGCGATGTCCCTCAAAGAGTCTATCTAGATAACGATATGACATTCAAGAGAGATACTGATAACGCTGACTTCGATGCTCTTTATCAATCTCATGACACGTAAACGGATAGAATTATACTAATGTATTGTATTGTATAAAATTATCATTTGCTTTTGTTAAAATCATAATCTAAGAAAATCGGCGTCTCATAAACAACAAAAAATTGATAAGAGAGGCGTATTTTTGGTGTCAAATTAATTATACTTTTTCTCATTGTTCTTCTAAAACAATATTTCTTTAATTTTTAGAATAAAATAAACAATGTATATACTTTATTTATAGAATTAATTAACTAACTTTTTCATGAGTGTACCTAACAAATTTTCTAATGCTAACACATTTTCCATGGTAAGAAATTTATTTCATCTTTGAATATAGGTTAGATAGAACTATCTACGAAGGAGGAGTGATGGCCGATCAGCTACTGAAAGATTGGACTGGAAAGAAGGCTCTTGATTCCTCGAAAGACTGGTCGAATTCTAATAAGAATCTCAAAGTGACTAACAGCGAAGGTACATGGCTTCGTGATTATAAACCTGCTGAAATTCTCATTAATTCTGATATTATTGAAATAATTAAAACGTTAGAAATTTTCGCCCGATTTAAATTAGCACAAAACATGATTTCTCAGACTCGAGCAACGAAATGTTACATGACGATATTGATAGGCAGGATCAATCACAAGTTGTATCATTGCATGATCCAATATATGCAAATGATTTCGCCGCTTTGAGGGAATCTCCAGTTGCAAATAGGAATGACAAAATTCGAAATGCATCATTATCATTAGACTCTTTGAAGAAAATTGTGTTAGAATTAAAAAATAATTTGACGTGGGGTGATAAGAAAGCGATAAATATAATTTCGAAAGGTAATAATTATTATTATAATATTATTATCATTATCATTGTTCTAATTTATTTTTATAGGAGAGTCCAACTTGTGGGATGAACCAAGATCAATTGTTGAAATATACAATTTTGATAAAGATTCAAATGGATATCCGGATGAAGACACAATGCGGAGGCTAAAAAGAGCAAAAAATATAGGCAACGAAGACAGAAGTGAGCCAAGCATTTTTCAAGGAGTAGAATTTGGATCATCATATTTTGGGAAACAGAATTTGAAGTCATCACATGATCGCAATAAACGCAGTAGAAGAAGTTTTGTCACAAACTTAAATTATATAAATAATAAAAAAAATAATTCTAGGAATAATAATTATCAAGAACCTCAGATTAAAGATACTCTAGGAAATATAACTACAATACAAAATACAGAAGAAATAACAAAATTATATTCTAATTATTCCAACGACAATGAAAAAAATTCGGTGAACATTTCAAACAAAATAAACATTTCTGATCCGCGGTATTCTTTAGAGAAAAGATTTAATTTTACTAATCGTATTAATAATTTAACGATTATTCCGTTAATAGCAAACAAAACAAATATTTCTGAATTAAGATATCCATCAGATGCGGATCTGTATTTAAATGATAATTCCATTAATGAATCATTATTAGTCACAAAAACAGAGTTTCAAACATTTTCACCAGAACGTATTATGATAAATAAAACAAACAGGAAAGAAATTAGTCAACATTCCACAATTGAGATATCAAAAAGTGTTGATCATGTAGCAGACAATTACATTAACTGGTCTAATTTCGAAATGAATTTTCCCATATCGCACACAGTTACAAATTCAATACGCTTTTCAATAAATAGTGATATTGATGACTCTAAAAAATTCTTAAAAATTCAAAATGGCGAAGAGAAATTAGGAGTCGCATTACGACAAACAACGCGACTCGACATAGATGACGGACAAGCAAAGGGTGCGGAAAAAGAGTTTCCCTGGGGAAATACATCGCATGGCTTCGGCATCGCGACAAATAAATTGCTGGGCTGCGTCGTCAAAACAACTGCAGCCGCGAGAGAAAGAGAGATCGACGGAACGCAAAAGCAAAACCGCGAACCGATACCCGGTGTGATCAAGGTCTTTGAGCCTCGAGGGCGTTCGTATCAAAAGCAGGAGACAGAGACGGCGGCAAAATTGTCTCGGCAAATGGGAAAAGATGGAACGTCCGTGGAAAAGATGAAGACGAACGAAGATGAAGTCGACGAGTCAAGAAGGGTAGACTCCTCGGCTTCGCCGATTGATCCTGTCGTCGGTGCAACAGTGGAACCGGAAGCTGCAAGTATAAGCACGTCTGAGACGTCTGGTGAATTGATAGTACCGAAAGATTTTACTTCGATGAAATACATTGTAGATTACGACTTGCGAAAGCAGCAACAGATGGTTTTACCTGTAAGCACGGAGAATAGGAATGCAAATAAATCGAATGGAAATTTGGATATCGATAGAATCAATGTTCGTGTTCTCGGGTCAAACGGAAATGAGACTATGAATGTAAAGGAAGATACTCGAACTATAATAGAAGCTCACAAGTATCACGAATCCGATAATAATTTACGGAGGAAATTATTATGGATTCCTACAATTTCAGTCGACGCCGAAATTGGAGATTTATCAATGAAGAACACGATACCAGTTTTTAATACGACGACAGAGAGTCATATTGAAAGTGTCGTGGATGAGAATCGACAGCAAAATAAAATAGCTGATTCTACAAATTTAAGAAAAGTATCTATTAAAGTTAAACGCAAAGATAAAGCTGAAGAAGATCATATGTTGTTAAATCCTCAGATTTCCGAAATAAATCATTATGCTCGTTACAAACGATCTGCATCCGATCTTAATGGAAATCTTGAATTTAAAAGTGAAGCAGATCCTGAGAATCTAGCAGTCGAGAAAGAAGCAATAAATCAAGATGAAACACAAGAAAATAATGAAGAATATCGGAATGTCGAAGAACTTAAGGGAGACTATAATGATAAAGAAGACATATTTGAAGGTATGACACTAATTTAATGAAAATAACGCAAATATGAAACTGTATAATGCATTTACAGATAATAGTAAAGCGACAAAAAATGAAGGAGAGAGATCGCCTTTATCCAAACGGAGGATTGATCCTATAAAAGCCAAAGTTAAAATGTTAATTCAACAAAAACTCGCCAAGAAATACAAGAACAATAGAGATTACAGGAGAAAGAGACATACTATGATCGAGTATTACGATTACGATGATGACGAGGTGCAAAAACACGATGCAATAAATGAACAGGATATTCAAAATAAAAATGATAAACTTTCAATTAATTCGAAGATAAAGCGTGGTAAGAACGTAAGCATAATAAAATTGACATTAAAGATATACAGCTAAAAGCATATTTTATAAAATTGATTGGTTAATATTTTAATTGATCACAGATGATAAACCACCATGTAAACCAGGCGATATAGGGAAGAAAAAGAATGAGAATGTCGAAGCGATGATGAAAGAAAAATTCAGAAAAGCGCAAATAAAAAACAAGGAGCCAAAAGAAGAAATTATTGTCGATCTCGGCAAATATAAAAATAAGACTGCAAAAACCGATCAAAATGATAAAAAACCATTTAATTCATCAAAATCTAATTTAAAAAATGTATTCAATAAGGAAATACAATTATCGACTACGGAAAAATCGGAGAAGAGTCATCAAAGCAAAGATACTATGAATAATGCTTATCATGAAGAATCAACTGATGATAAATCAAAATGGTAAATCGGATTATTTTGCGAATTAGTTAATAATGACTAGCTAATAATAAATTATCATTATTAATCACCAAGATAGATTTTAAAATATTTTCTATTTTAAACATACATAAATATATCTTTTAATCTATATATATGTAATGCATACAATGATGCTATTAATATAAATAATCAAAAAATAGATCTTTGATAGGTTGGACCAATTATTTGAAGATAAAATAGCATCGTCGAAAGAAAATTCAGCGTCAGCATTAGAGAACGACTATAAGAAAGAAATTAGTTTGAATGAACCTTCGAAATATATGTCTAATATAGATGTAAATCTTGATGGTATTAAAAATATTTTATTAGATATTCAACCTATTAAGATTATGGAGCAAAGCAGAAAATTGGGAGCTTCAAAAGATTTTTATGAAGATTTTGGAGATGATCAGTACAAATATTTTAAATTATGTTATAAAATATATATATCTATTTTAATAAAATTTGTTTTATATAATCGTTAATAGATAATTAGATGCTAACTCGCAAAAACTACTTATTTTTAATTTTTCATAATTATATATATATATATGTATGTATATATAATTATTACTATTTTATATTTGAACTATTTTATGTTGAATATTAATTATTAAATATTAATTAAAAAGAATCTGTAAATAATTTCTATTAAAAGTTATACATAAGAACTATGTATTTTTGTAATATGTGGAATTGTTTAGAGCTAATAATTTATTTCAGACCAGAAGACCATTATTATTATCAAGAGAACGATCCAAACAATGTCGAGTCTCTCTACGAGGAGTTGAAGAACGTATATGATTGGTCCGACGGTGAATTAAAGAGCGGACCTCGACTCAGAGGCGATCAAAGGCTACGTTATGAATCAGATGATACGCTTAATACAAATCCCTCTCAATTACAGCCATTGAGCGATAGATTCCTCAGCTCGAATCAAAATGATAACGCAAAAAAGAGATGCCACTCAATCGATGCATCTTGGATGAGTAAATATTGAGTGCAATCATCAAGAAACTTTTACTTATCTTCATTTTAATCGCATCTATTCATGTCACCTTCAAATATTTTATATTAATTCTTTTTTTTAATTGCAGGTTTATTCTTATTTTTTATTTTTTAAATCATACTTGCAGCTTTACTTGCCGTTATTTTTATAAAAATTTACGTACTAAAAATAATTTTACGAAATGTTTGATTGATAGCTACGGGCTCGAATAGCACTCCAGCGAGCAATTATTTCGCGCTTAAAGTCACGGATGATATGTTTAAAGGCAGCTCCGAACAGAGCAGTTCGACGGAGGGAAGCCCACTTAGTACAGTTTCTGTTAGCTCAACTACCGAATCGAAAGTGTCTATAGTAAGCGTATGATTATTATCTTGTAATCACGATAATGTAAAATAATATCTCGGTTTAGATTTCAGAAGACAAGGATAACTTGTTTCCCGAGAAACAGTCGATAATTAATACGGATTCTAATTCTCCATACGAAAATCATAAATACGCCAAAATGCACGAAGTATTGAAACGAAATTTGGAGAATCAAGCAATTAGTTCTCAAGATTTGCATGAATCTTTTGTGGAATCTGTAAATTGGCATGACGACTTTGATAATAATGAAAATGTCAGATTGAGTAGAGGACTAAAGGCTATAAATGATACAGTAATTTCTAGCTCGCAAGAAACTCACGGTCAAAATAATAAATTAGATGTGGCAGATGCGATTAATATGAATTTCGAGTTTCCTCAAGCTTCTTTGCAAACTTTTCACGATAATTCATCGATATTAAAAGATTGGCACAATAATTCAATTGTGGATTTACTCAATATTTTTAACATTTATCATAATAGATCTGATCAAAATGCTAAAAATGTTCAAGAATCAATTTTAAATTTGAATACAGTTAACATGAATGGTAATGAGGATCTTGAAGCTGCCGAACAAAAGTACGTAAATCAAACATCGAGAATTAGAAGGGCAGCTATTTTAAATAATGCATTTTACGACGATGTGAATCAAAATCAAGATGATTCTGATACAAAGGACGAAAATTTGGATAACCAATTTCATTTTTCAAATATCCTTGAAAATCAGCCCGAATATCATAAATACGCGACTAGAAATTGGAACGACGATATAGAAGATTTTGATCGACATTCGAAAATTTTCCAAACTAATAAGAGAAAAAAGAAGTCTGGGAAAAGGAATAAAAAAAACAAGCACTTGGAGAAACACGGAAAGAAAAGCAGTTCGCGTTCTCCTTCAAATAGAAACAGAAGGCATCACACACATCGATCCGACATGACGAAGAACGTTAACCGAGGTGATTCAAAGCTGAAGCAAAAGAACAAAGCTGAAGCATCTCCTTTGATTGGACGCACTAGAATCCAGAAGAGTAAAACAGCCGAACAAGATCTGCTTCGCGCAGGAGTGAATGAGGCATCGGGCGAAAAAGTGCTTTACGAGAGCGTGGAAGATCAGAGCGTAAGTGAAAAGGCGAACGCCGATCGCGTCGTAGATCGCGCGACCGGATTAAAAAGAGAAAAGAATTAAGGATGATTTTTCAGACAGTGAAGCCGAAGGAGGACGACGCACGGAGAAAGGAAATTACAATGCTCCTCGCAGCCGACAATATCGACGACGAGTCGCAGATGGACGTGGCTCTCCACGGCGAGCTGGCTGGTAAAATCGTCGAGCAAATATTCGAACAGGCAAGTAAAGGATCGTGTCGCGTCACATCAAAGCTGCTTTCAACGTCTCTTTCATCGAAAATGAAAAATTATTTGATGCATGGAGCGTACGTTTTTCTGGTATCAGGATGATTGATGATAATTAGTGTCGGTATCATAGGTTCAACAAAATGATCAATTGAAGAATGTCTTTGGTCCTGGGCTACACCGCGATTATAAAGCAGAAGACGTGATAGCGGGTAACGTTTATCGACAAGGACTCGACGAAGATGGAGTAATCACGATATTCCTTAGTTTAAGAGATTTGCGTATTTAATTTAGGAGAACAATTTTGACAACTTCAAAATTATTTTGTTTTTTAAATTGACGCAATTTAGACCAATCGCACGGAAACGATGATAAAGAGAGTTATGGAGCTCCTTGGTACATTAATCCTAAATGAAGCGCAAAAAGAAACTTGTGTTCTCTTATCGCCGGAAATGCGAGAATTTTTAGGATGGATGTTAGAAGTGGATCGAGAAGAATCACTGGAAGAAGTATATTCTATAATCTCTCTAATTATGTATTAACTAATTGTTCATCAAACGCTTCTTAACAAATTAAGACTTCTGCTCATTCCATCCATCATGAATTGTGACATTAAAAGCGAAAAAAGAATTTTCATTATGTGTTTTCTCGCCTTTGGCGGCATAATTTAAGATGGCTACAGTGAACAAACAAAAACCTTAATAAATATTAATTTTTGTCTTAGGCACCACCGTTGCCTTTGATACGTGAGAAAATCATTCCGGAGCAACACTCAGGACATAAATTCCTATTTGACAGCTCTTCCAAGCAAGAAAGAAAAGAAAATATTAATGATCTAGAGAAAAAAGTGAGAGTATTGGAAACTCTTGTAAAGAAATACAATGCATTGACAGCAAAAGAGAAAACGAAAGTTCAAGTAGTCCACGATTATTTGGTAAGAAAGTGAACTTTAAATTAATATTTTTGTTTGTTAATTAATATTCGAAAAGATAATGATAAAACTTTGTCTATGATAAGAGATATTTTATAATTATAAATATAAAAAAATAATTAAAGACTGTACAAAAATGAATTTTTTGATCATTTAGATTCGGCAGTTGAATCTAATTTTGCAATATATCGAAGCGCGAGAAAGTACAGAAGCAAAAGATAAACTTACATCGATACCTATTGGAACAGCTAGAACCAAAATCGGAAATATTTTGCAATATCAAAGCGCAGTGTCTAATGCCACTAATGCAAGCGATTTGATAGAAAAAAATGCATTCTCTTCATCAATCAATACGCATAATCCTTTTCGTTCTAATAACCTCTTTGAAACGGCAGATAGGCAGCTCCATGATAGTACGTAATATTTTCTATGATTACATATATTTATCATTTTTTACGTCTTCTGAAAATAGCATAATGTTATAAATTTATTTTTCGTCTCTAATGTACAGTTAAAGAATATTAAAATTTCAGTAGAAAATGTAGTAAACAATGAGCTATAGGCGATGTTCCTTTAACTACCAATATCGGGAAATTGGTTATCGGAAATGTTTTCGGTCTAAATACCATGGCATGATAAACTATTTCCGCATCGAGTCGATAAAAAACTATGGCGGTTTCGGTCGAACTTTCAAACTCCAAATAATTATGTCCACGTAATATCTCGTCCGAAAATTGCACGATAAAATATCTATTCACATATCTCACTCATATCATTCTGCAATACAAACGGTCAATATATTTTATTTATCGTGCTTCAACTTAATATTTTTCGAAGATTATGCAAGTTAGCGCAACAAATTTTTGCTCTGTTATATTTAAAAATTTTTAGGTCGTATTGCATCTCGTCGTAGAGAAACGCGTAGTCTCGACGAGAATCTATCGAAACAACATTACAAAACAAAACGTCAGAAATTCCATAATCAAAAGAGGAATAAAAACTACGGAAATTCAAGGCGAAGACACAAGAAGCATTTCAAACACCTAGATCGGGCAGGACTGTCATCGGGAAATGGGAAATCGCGAAAAAAACGCGCAAATCCCGAAGAGAACAATCAAGCTTCACTTTATTATTTAGGCTATGAGAAACCAAGAATTTACGATTCACTTGATGTCCTCGATGTGAAATTGACAGGGAAGAAAAAGAAGAGGAAACGGGAATTGGCCGATAAGGAAAACGTGGCAACCGAGAATGACAGGATGCTCGATTTGTTACCAATAAAGGGGAAGAATCGCGTGGAGGACGAAGTGATGCTGCTCAACAAGCGGGAAGCCTGGAAGAGGGAGAACAAGAAACAGCTGGAGGAGGTCGCCTTTGGCAAAGACATGAGGAATAGCACGAGGAGGGAGAGGGAACGATTCGAGAAATTGATGGAAGAAGATAAACGCAAACCAATCAATGAGACGAGTTCCAGAATGAAGCGAGAGGACATGATTCGCGGGACACCAGCCAACAGGAATACAGATTGTCTTAATAAATTTCATACAGCATCCGAAATTTGTAATAGTGAATCACGAAATCATTTGAAGTCGAATAACGCTAATAACAGCGTAAAGAGCAAGAATGAATTAGAATTAGTTGAGCGAAAAATTAATGTTTTCCCGGATAACAAAACCGATGCAGCAGTTGATTCCGCGGTTGCGGAAGTCAGCACACAAGAAAAGTTAGCGACAAACGCGGGAACCAATAACGAGGTTAAGGGAAAACTTCGTGCTATAAATCGCGAGACAAAAATTGACAAGGCGGGCGGAAGTACGGGCTTCGTAAACTTGACGAGCGACACGAAGCGGGTCTCGAAGGGACGACAGAAAGCTTCGGCAATGGAAAAAGAAGCAGATGATAACACTGTAAAATTAAATCGAACGACAAACTATCGACGTGAGGAAGTAGATCCTGAAATCGAACTGAAAAATCTGAGACAGGGACAAGAGGAAAGAATTTATGACGACGCAAACTGGAAGATGACCGACTACTCTTATGATAATGATAATCTATCTAGAAATAAATTAAGGAAAAATTACGTGACTAAGTTAGACAAACTGGGTGACCTAGATACAGATCCCGAGAATAATTTGGAACTTCTGAGATTAAGAAATAATAAATGGTCGAATGACGTCGTCGAATGGAAACTGCTGCCAATAATAAAAAGATTACCGCGTTACGACTATCCTATTTCATCGAGAATAGAAGAAGAAACACCTATATTAAGCAATATAAAAGATATGAAATTTCAATCCAACGCTTACTTAAACAATCCGAAACTTTGGCGATTAGGACATCGCAGAAGAAATGTTTTTAATATATTGCCCATACTGACAATAACTAACAATGATAATTTTCCGCGCAGAATTCATCGAAAAATAAAATCTAAGATAGCAAAGTTTAAGAATTTACAAGTAGATCCCAGAATTATTTTTAAAGTTCGACAACTATCTAGGTTAAAGAACACTAAAAGATCGAACAGCATTGCAGAATTTGGAATGCCTTTTGTATTGAAAGATTCTAATCGCAAATACTATGAAATACTTCGACCTCGTAATCATTCAGAGCTCGGTGATCGAGTAATCTACGACGGAATTGATCTACGATTGCCAGTTTGGCAATCGTATCAATATTACAATAGTTTTGCGGATTCGCCGATCTTTCACTTTGTTCCGAGTATTCGTGAGAAAGGCGATGACATATATCGATATCCCACGGAAATATTTTTCGAGTATGACCCCTTTAAAGAGCACCGGACTCAAGACTTGAATCGACAATTCGCGAAACGAAATAGATTTCGTACGAAAAAAGAAGACTCTGTCGAATTTCCGAGAGATAATTTAACAAACAAAAATTCGAAGTCCAAATTCATGCAGATAAAGTTTCACATGGAAATGGACAAGCCAACCCTTGCAAATCGCAAAGATCATCTCGTTTCCAGTGAAACAAAATACACAGGAAAGATGAAAGAAATTAACAAAACAAAAACGAAATTAATAAAATAAATAGGATTTTTGATCGATGAGCATTAAAGGCTTTTAATTTATTGGCATAAATATACATAATTATTTTTAAAAATTTAATGTAATCTATAGCCCAATATGGAAGATAAATCAAGGAACTTGAAGAATATATCGGATTGATGTAAACACGCGAAGAAAGGGTGCTGCATTGCATCGCGTTGCATTTTCAGGTCAAATCATGACGTGATAATTGTCAACGGGCGTCTAAATAATTTCATAATCAGATAAATCGGATAAATCGACGATGCGCGATTATCGTAATTGACACATTCGCCATATCTATGCACCAGACAAGCCTCGTAAATCGTCCTAGCTCGTTGGGATGAACTCGGTGTCGTCGCGTGTTTGCATACACGTACCATCGTCCGCGCTAATCCATCTGCATGAACGCCATCGCTGCAGTGCAGTTAATGGTGTTGTCTTCCAATAATTAGATTAGCAGATTGTGTCAAAAGTTAAGAGACTTCGACAGGTGAACGTCACGTCTTAATCTAACATTAAGTTAGAGCGATTTAGAATTTATATGTGTCACGTATAAGTTTGTCGAATATTTCTTCAAAGCACAAATATTGAAGAGAAAAGCAACTATCTATCTTAGCTTTTGCTAAGATACAACAACATTGCGCTTTATTTTTATTTAGCCAGATTATGTAATATTTACCTTATTTGTATTTAGAATATTTTGCAAAAATCAATAGATGCAATAAAGCAAGATAATTTTTGTAATTATGCATAATTCTCATTAGATATACATTTATAATATAATTAATAACAGTCTAAAATAATAAAAAAAAAAAGGAGAAGTGGTATGCGAGGTGTATATGTTATCTCTAAAGATTTTCATAAAATGCAAACATTTCATATGTATCCGCGCGATAAAAGCCAAATCTTTCAAACCCGCGACCGCTATGCCGACTCAATCTCGCCGACTTACTCTCCTACTCTAACCGGAAAAAGAGCGTATGCAGCGTGTTCCCTTCTGCCCCGATCCGGCTCGGCTCAAAAATATCTCGAAAGTTTCCTCGTAAAGTAAGGCCACGCGGCGGAATTCCCTCCGGCCAATTAAAGTCTCGAAATCGGACGCTGCTCGCTTATACAGGCAAAACAGGCAAGGGATGATGGAAAAAGAGAACGAGAAACAGACCGAGAAAGAAAGAAAGAGAGAGAGCGAGAGAGAGAGAGAGAGAGAGAGAGAGAG